CAACACACGACTATTAAACGAGTTAAAGGAAACCTGAAACTGTATCATCAATTTAACACAATTTCCTGTCAGATTTAAAAGGGTTGTCCTTGAGATTGTTGCGTTATTTACCCCCCATTAAAGCGGCTGATGTTTATAACTATTGGCTTTTACAGAGAAGACTGCAGAGATGATGTAGAGTGTGGCTTTTCCGCACTGGAGAGGGTGAGATCACTTGCCTGTTATTACAGATTAAATTGAGTGTTAGAAGCCCATTGAGCAACAATACAAAACACTAGAATTGTTTTGAAGTCCCACTGACATCTAATTTCTGTTGCAAATAAAACTCTTCAGGTGTTTGAAATGTTATTAAAATGTTTTTTTAACAGTAAGAATAAGTCAATTCTCATTAATTGCATAGCTGGGATATACATGTTTAAATATTCTTTATTTTGGATACGGCCCGGCGCTACAAGGACTGTGTGTTTTCATTATATATTGACATTATTTATTAACGTTAATGGATGTTGCGGACTGCAGAATCCGAAGGGATCAAACACACAGAGACCTGGAAAAAATGACCTAATTCATTCGAAAATATCACACTGAATTTATGAAGTTATCGATTAGCTGGGTGGTAGAAAAAAAAACCCAAAAAAGAGGAACAGTACAACTGCAATTATTAAAGTCGTTAAATCTGGAATATAATACACTGGTAAAGAAAACATTAGTTAAAACAAAGCGGCAGTTTGTTCATGTTGTTTGAGTCCCTCTGCAGGCGGCAGCATAAAAGAGGGAAAAGAGACAGATGGCGTTCAGCGTGCTTACCAAAACTGTCAAGCTCAACTGGTTTTCAAATAAAGTGACTCCTGAATAGTCACCCGAGATCGGTGCCTGTGTCCCGCCGTTACAAAGTGGGATTCTGTTATGTTCCAGCTGTTGCCCCCAATCCACAAGGTCCGATTTCAGGGGCGAGCCAAGGCGACCCCTTCCCACGACTGAAGCGTGAACGTTCAATTCATAATGCTTGGTAGGCCCATCATCGTTTACTATAAATATATTTCATTTATATCCGTGAATTGAAATGGGCTAAATATCTCGACCTGTTCAATCAATAATTATTATGAAAACGTGTTCATCAGGTTAACTCCTCATCTATGAGAGTTTAATCAAATTCACCGGTGGACATATTACAGAGATTTCAAGTACCGTAAATTTCCATGAGGAAGGATCCGAAACCGCTTGGATTAGAAGGATTCGGCTACCTTCAATATTTCTGGCTTCTTTTCAGTACCTATTTCAGTGACTCTAGACGTGTATTGCAGTGACCTCTGTTGGCCAGGAGGTTGAAGAGCACATGGCCGGGCTTCCATTCATTGCCTTGGGTGTTCCTCTGTCCCAGAACACGTCCAATTACTGAGTACCAGACAGAATTCACATTCAACCTCCACCTGACCACCCATTTATGGAGTTTATTGGGGAATTTATTCTAGAATACATATTGAAATCAGCTGTTTTGTAAATATAACATTTATTTTAGGGGCTTTATCCTGCCATAAAGACACTTTCAAAGTGAAATATTTTCTTCTTTCATACTGATTCAGCATCTATGGAGTGCGTGTGCGTGTGATTTTGTAAGTTTCTGTGGTGGAGCCAATAGATAGGAATGCTTATATTACTTTGTAGCATGTCCCTGTGTTTTAATAACAACAATAATAACAATAACAATAATAATAATAATAATAATAATAATAATAATGGTAATAGGTGATTTCATGGCACTCAAGGCTACCTTACAAAGACAGTAACATCAAACATCATACAAAAACAAACAATTAAAAACATATCAAGACAATAAAAAGACGACACATAGTAACAATTATTAAACAAATCTAGGGAAAAATTAAAAAACAAAAATAAATAAATAAAGTTGCAAAATGCCAGACAATTTGAGTGCAGCCAAATGGAATCACAGCGTCAGAATAAGCAGGTTTGAAAAGGTGTGTTTTAAAGCGAGATTTGAGGTGAGGATAAGAATCAGAATTATGGATGTGTTGGGGAAGAGAGTTTCAGAGGTGAGGAGCAGCATGGCTGAGCAGTCCGAACCTCCTAAGCAGTCAGGCGAGCAAAAGGAATAGTGACTCTGATGGAGGAAGAGGACCTTAGCATGCAAGAGGCTGTGCAGCAGTGATGGGAGTATTCTTCATGTGCATAAGTGTCAGTATATACTGTATGTGTGCATACTGTATGTGTGCATATTGTATACTGTATATGTGCATACTGTATAGTGTATATGTGCATAATGTATACTGTATGTGTGCATACTGTGTGTGTGCATATTGTATACTGTATATGTGCATACTGTATAGTGTATATGTGCATACTGTATACTGTATGTGTGCATACTGTGTGTGCATACTGTATATATGCATACTGTATGTGTGCATACTGTATATGCGCATACATACCCATTGCCTTTTCTACTTACCTCATGTGCCGAAAAACCTTTGTGTTTTTCATCTTTCTGACTTTCATTTAATTAATTTTAGTTGTTTGAGGTCAACGCATGTCAGTTTATAGTACAATGGGAATCAACGGCAAGTCCACACAGATGGAAGTGTGCATGTCTCGTGTGTGTGTGTGTATGTGTGTCTGTGTGTGCATGTCTCGTGTGTGTGTGTGTATGTGTGTCTGTGTGTGTGTGTGTCTGTGTGTGCATGTCTCGTGTGTGTGTGTGTGTGTGTATGTGTGTGTCTGTGTGTGTGTACATACACTAAGTAAGGTAAGGTCCAGCATTCCAGCCCCGGGGCCTGATGCGATAGAGAGTCGGGGAGCTGCACTCTCTCCAGAGAAAAATAAATGTCCGGCAGAGCAGCGGAGGGCCCCGTGACCTCTGACCCCTCATTAGTGCAGCATAGTGCGGAGCTGCCTGGATCACGTTACTCTGGGCTGTGGTTGCTGCTTCCATACATGCCGAGGGCAGCCGGGTGACCTTTTTAATAAGCCTGCTTCAGCTTCGGGGTTTTCCCACATTTTACAGCCTGTCACTGGCTCTTCATGCCACACTTTTAAAATTGTAAACACACTCATACAAATACTGATTAATTCTCTTTAACTCGTCATAATTCACGCTCCTTTTCACACTTTATCTTAGCCTCAACTTTGTATACTTGTTGTAAATAATTAATATCTTAATTAAAATAAGGTTATTGCAGGTGCTCTTAGGTGGCATTATACTCCTCACCGAAAGGTTTTATGTTCAAGGGCTCCCAAAAATGCTCTCTCATCGCACAAGAGATTATTCAACTTTCAAAGTCCAATTCTTTAAGTGCTCAGGGATTTAACCTAAATCAACAACATTGTAAATGTATAAACTATCCAATAACCAACAATCTGCAATTACCCATTTAAAAGGAATCTTAACAGAAGCAAAATAAGCTTTATCTCAACACAGTAATAGCAAAATAATTACATCCATAGCAGGATATAAAACTTTCTCCCATGTTGCTTGTGGGGATCACAGGTAAACAGGTGTGTGTGTGTGTGTCAGTTTTGTATATATTACATTGTGGGGGAAAAGACTGTATTATTTTGACATTGTGGGGACCATTTTTTCAGTCCCCACAAGGGGAAATTCAATTTTATAAAAATCGTTGACTGCAATCAAAAAACTAAAAATGCCGAAAGTCTTGTAATTTGTTTGGTTACTTATGGTTAAGGTTAGGGCCGGGTGGGGGTTACAGTCGACACGGCCTGGACTATGCTTTTCCCATAGAAATGAATGGAGAGTCCTCACAGGTATGAATATAAATGTGTGTGTGTCGGTGTCCATGTGTGCGGGTGGCGGGGGGGGGACCTGAAGCCTGACATGGATTCCAACCACCTGGACAAAGCCTGAGGCTGGAGGCCTATCAGGTCACATGGTTCGCGGGGCTTTGTTTGAAACATGCCAACATTACATCTTCTTTGATTTCTTCTTTCTCTTTCTCTCCTTGCGCTTTCTTCTCCTTCCTCGGTATTTGCAGGAGGATCTACCTGACACCCCTCAATGAGCTAATCCTGCGCCGAAGGCTACAGGGCCTCATTCCCACGCCGACGACGGCTCCCTCCTCTCCTGCTCACCTCGGCCTGGGCACCTCTCACTCAGGCATGACTCACTGTGTCACACCGTCAGTGTTGCTGGGAAATTCTTCCAAAACCAATGCTCTTTAGACCCAGGGAGAATAAAACACACAGACACCCCTTAAGTGATACCTGCAGCACAGGTAAAAACCACATCCATTCATCACAATCAGCATTTTCGAGGAGGTTCCTGTGTAAACTATGTGCCATAATTTTGGCCAGTACGACTCGGTAGGTAAACAAATGATTACATGCCATACTTTTGATGAACTGATTTATATTCAGCATTCTGCTTTTGACAACTGAGACTCAGCGTTAACGCTTACATTTTTGTTGATTTCAACAACAACCTGAGGAAAAAAAAAAACTTTCACCTTCCTTGCATTTTAGAGATTCGTAGTGCATTTTGTGTAAGGAAGCTGCAGGTCAGAGCATATCAGCAGAGATGACAGGGGGCGGTGCTGGTCCTGGGGGGGTGTGCTACACAGAAGCCCACTCAGCGCTGACACCCGGGCTGGAGCCCACAGCTGTTTATTTGAATAAGAAGCAGGATTGGGAACCGGGGCTAATGAAGTCCAGGCCGTCAGATGTGGGCAAACAATCACAGCACTGTGCGGAGCGCGGTCTGGGTCTGGGTCCGGGTCTGGGTCTGGGTCTGGGCTGGCCAGATAGGTATTCGTCTGCCACAACCAAACACTCCACCGCCCCTGAAGCAGAACCTTCTTAAAAGCTTCAGAAAAATATGCCACGTCAAAGTTTTTGAACAATTAAAAAATACTAAAACAGATCCAGTCTTTGGCTTCGTTACCTCATACATAAGGACATACAACAATATCCAATAATAACAAGCGATTATTTGATGATAATTAAAGGAAGGAACAACATGAACATCTGACAAGTACAAATATAAAGATTTAATGGGGGGGGTGGTTAAAAAATAAGCCTAGGTAGTTTTTGAATATAAACAAACAATCCAACCATATAAATGTCACCACATTTAGTGGCCGCTGTGTCTGACCAAGGTGTTGATTAGCGGAACGGAAGTGAAATGTTAGCTTGCAACCCAAGAAAGACTCCATGAAAAGCTGGAGGAAACAGACGTGCATAAGTAAATAACATTAAACATCTCTCAGTGTTAATGTGGAAAGCCCAAAACAAACAAACAAACAAACAAAAACAAAAAAAAATTTGCATTAAGGGTAATCTTGATTAGGCTCATTCGAGTGGCACATTCCTGAATGGGCCCGACACTCATATATCACACTGGCAGGTAGCTCATGTGGATCAGTCCCACAGCCCTCTCTGGCGTCCGATCACGCCCCGCGGAACGTGGAACGCTTCACAGGCAGTGAACAAGTTCTGCTTCTATTACATCGTACAATGGGCCGGCGGATGTTTTACTGTGGGATTGGGGGCCGGGTGTGGTGGGGGGGGGGGCGCTGGGGGACACTCTGCCAGTAATGGGCCGATTTTTTTCATTCCACTGTCAGCATTGGCCTGAGAGGCATGTCTGAACGCAAGGCACTAGGCAAGCAGAGAGGGACTGAGCTCTGGGGGGAGTGCGGGGAAGAACCAGGAAATGAGAAAGAATATCCAGAAAAAAAGAAAGCATTTCTTTAAAAAGAGACCTTCTCTGTGTTTCCTCACAAGATTGACAAAAGCAGTTAGAGGCAACAAAGGGGGCAACAGAGAAGGTTTTGCAGGATTCGGCAGCATCAGCATGACAGCTGGATGTAGCCCTTGCTGCAGTTCCTGTTAACTGTCCCACCGATATGCTGGATGTAGCTGTGTCCTTGCTGCAGTTCCTGTTAACTGTCCCACCGATATCCTGGGAATCAATCTAATAATTTAGCATGAATGTATCCTGGAGTGTATATGCGTACGATATGATCACCAATGTGAGGCTGACCGTGGCTCGTAGAGGTCAAAGGTCACGCACATGCTCCTCCAGTGGCACGCGGTGCAGTTTGCTGAGCTCCTTTTCTTTTGGCTCCACTTCCAGGCACATGACCCTGGTTCTGTCCCCCCCATGAGCCGCGTCTGAGTTGCCCTGTCCGGGCAGGAAGTCCTGCTGCATGGTGGAGGTGAACGAATGGCCGTGCGGGGCTGGGGGGGGGCGGCTGTCCCCGCCAGGTGTGGTGGGCACCGGAGGGGACGGGTAGGCCCGTGGCTCGGAGCGAGGGGACGCCGCCGCCGTGCTGCAGGGTGGGGCCTCCCCGGCGTTTGGGGGGGCAGATGAGGGAAGAAGGGGAGCAGAGTAGGCCAGCTGGTCACTCCGGTCCATGCGAAGCCCCCCAGGGAAGCCGTAAAGGCCAGCCTCTCCCGGCTCTTGCTTGACTGAGGTCTGCGTTGCAAGAGGCAGGGACAGGCTGCAGTACATGGAGTTGCCACCGGGGGCACTGTCAGCACTATGGAGGGGAACCGCAGCTGCAGGTAGAGCAGAGAAACGGAACTCGTGATGCGGCGAGAAGACGCAGCTCTGCCTGTGCTGTCCTGTGTCGCAACAGCACTTACATGTTGCTCACGGTCGTCTCTCCTGCTCTAAAGAATCCCAGCAGCTATAAGCAGTGTTTGCAGCAGCCATCATCTTGCTCACCTCATCCCAGAAGAGCCTAATCGCTCCTTGGCTGTGCTGGGGTTCATCGCCCTTCACGGTGACTGGTCCCTCACTGCCTGCTGCCTGGGCCCTAACCTTCAAGCCCTCGGAGATGCCTGTGCTCTACTACGCGCAAACTGGAAGAATGATCCCAGCTGTCAGTGAAGAGAAATCCACTCCAGTGCTCAGGGGGTCCCAGGCCAGAGAGCCATTCTAAAAGCCTGCACTCCTGTCATCTCCCAGACAGAGATCCATCCTAATTGCTCTTCCTTGGCTTTGGAGTTAATCGCGTCGCTCCAACACGACGGCCGGAGCTGAGAGGCGTCTCTCGGTCCAAGGTGGGGGCTCTAACATCCCCACTCTTATCCTTCTGTTCTACCTTAAATCTGGAGCTGGGCTAACTGACGGCTTGCCTCCTAGCTGTAAGGGCGAAAAGCGAGCAGCATAAACAAACCGGCCAAGCCATGGGTAGGAAGAGCAGGTAGCTGGCAGTGATGCTGTGTAGATGGATCTATAAAATATTCATGGCCGGATGCATTAGCGAGATCCCTGGCGTTATGGTGGCCACACCCACTTGGCACCGGCCGCTCCCTGGGGACTGGCTGTTACGACACCCATGCCCCTCCCCCAACCACAAATAGCTCCACCCCTTCTTCGAACCCATTCTGAAGTAATGTGCCGATGGTCTGCCACTCTCCCACCCGACCAGAGAACAACGAGCCAGAGAAAAACAGGCAAAGCAAAGAGCAGCTCTGAGAAGCGGCCGCTGTGCCAGACCCCCCAACTAGGATCCCTCTAACGGGCCTCGATTTCACATCTTCACATGCCGACATCTCAAAGTCAAAAGTACAATTAATGTATTTTGTATTTTAAATTAGACGTAGCATTTATGTTTCAGAGACCGAATACCTAACATCTATACTTCAGCTGCAACGATAATTTCTGCAGCTGCCAAAATGATGGTGAAATTCCAGGACCTCCAGAGAGCTTCAGGCCTTTCTTAGTATTTTAGCTGCTCTATGGCTCTTTTCGCTACCCAGTCCTACAACCCAACTGTAATATGGGACAATAGGATCAACTTACCATGAGAGGGCGCCACAGCAGTGGGTGGCAATTGTAGAGGTGGGACACTCTCATGAACGTTGAGCTGTGATTGGCTGTCATTGGTGCTGGGGGTGTGGCCCAGGTTGGGGCTAAGGTGCAGCGGCCCAAGGGTGGGGGCCAGGGTGACCATGGCGGGGCCCGCCCCTCCTGGGACCCCCTCCAGCTTCACCTCCAAGCCATTCGAACATAGAGGGAAGGGGGGGTACACCGGGGGGGCAGCAGCCAGGGACCGCTCGTGGGCGGGCTGCAGCTCGGCATTCTCACTGTGATCCCCCAGCAGCGGCCCTGGGGGCGGGGCTAAGGGGTTAAAGGTCAGAGGCGGGTTCCCCAGGCCAAAGCTACCCAGGAGGAAGCCGCCATTGGGCTGGAGGCAGGAGGCACTATTGAAAAACGTGGTGCTGCCAGCGGAGAGGTTCCCGCTGAAGTGCTGGGCACCCCCACGGCCCGGGGCGGCCCCCATGTCGCCGATCTGCTGAACGACCGGCGCCCCCCCGCTGGAGCCGCTGGAGAGGGACCGGGGGGAGAGATCATCCTGGCCCTTGCTGGCCTCATCCTCAGTGCTGTGGTTGCCATCAGATTCACTGCATGGAGACGGGGGATGAGGAAAGGCAAGTCAGGGGGCCGGGCCGACAGAACCGCAACCCGAAAGTCAGGAGGAGCTGAGGAGGCAGGAAGAAAGGCGTGCAGGAGCGAGGGGGAGATCCAGGAGCACCGACGGGAGCCCCACAGGGTGCAGTAACGAGCTTTATATCAGCCCCCCACACCACTGACACGGGCAAGTTACACTGGACTGCCCCCCCCACCCCCTAACCCCCAAAGGGTGCTCAAGTCCTGCTTGACCCATGTGGACCGTGGCCATTTATCTAAACTTCAAACCAAAGAAACAAAGCAATAAAGCTGTTTATACACTACCATTAGGGCTGTAAAATTAAAGCAGACAGTAACGTTCTTGGAATTCAAATATAATAAAAGCCATTGTGCCCTTGACTGCGAGCTGCACTGCTTTACTGACCCTAACAGCTGCTAACCCCACACACTGACAGAAACAGACCCCCCCCCCCATCCACCCTCCGTTTTGCGGGCGGTTTCTTTGCAGTTTGCGGTTTCTTTACGCAAAAACTAATTCATAAACAAAATAAAAAATATTTTGTAAATCGATATAAATCGATTACTTAATAAAGAATCACGCTAGTTTATTTCATTTACAATAATATTTCTCATAAGAGAAAAACGATCATATTGCCGTAATAACTACTAATGGCTGCTTTTTCTACTACTAGAATGATGACTGAATCAATGCGACACACTTCCAGAACTAAACTGGCAAAGAAATATGTTGGAATAACACATGACATCAAGTTCCAGGCGCGAGAGATAAAGCTGCTAGATAAAGAGAGGTGACCGCGCGCGACCAGGTGTCCTGCAGCCACACTGACGGCGAAATGACACACAGCTCAGTAACTATATCACGCCGCATCATCAGCTGCATTATATACAGTCCTGCGAATAAGTTATCGTTCATAAACTATAATGGCACGATTTACTTCCGGTTAAGAGAAGCCCTACTTGTTGTTAATTTGGCATGTTTACTAAATGTAAATTTTCATCAAGTTTAGATGTATGCATTAAATACTGGCTACACACTGACAGACACAAATTTGTGTCAGCTATTCGAAAATTGAAGGTAGGCCTATTGTTTTTTTTATTGCATTGTTAATAAACACGAAACTGTACACATTACTTTGTATTAATAAAAGCATTAAGCGGTTATGCACTTTCAAATATTTATGAACCAAATGCAAAGCAGTGTATTACATTCTACCACCGGAACATCAAATGTCAAAACTTTACCGAGTAGGTCGTGCATGGCAGCCTTTATCTCCGTAATAATTAATACTAGCCTATGAAATTTACATGACTGCTTTTCCAACCTGGCGTCGCTGACAGTCCTGCCATCTACAAAGTATGTTTTACATACTCGATCAAAACTCGCAGGTGAAACGGGGCACTAACAATGCACACGCATTTTCTTGTAACGTTCTTATAATTATAACATAATGTGTGTGTGTTTCGATCGTATATACACACGTTTCAGAAGTTTGTATCTGAATACACCCTGCAGTGGAAGATGCAGTCATTACTCTGCGCTGTGTTTCTCTCACCTCTTTGACTGCGCTTCGGACGGGTTTCTGTCCCTCTGTCTCCGGTTTTTAAACCAGTTGCTGACCTGAGTCAGCGATAGTCCCGTGATTTTGGCGAGATTCCTCTTCTCGGCCGGCGAGGGATACCTATTCTGCTTGTACATCTCCTTCAGTGCATTCCGGGATCGTTCCTTGAAACAATATACTGTTTCTTCTCCATCCCAGATAGTTCGAGGCAAGGGGTACTTCCGACGCAGGCGGTATTTATCCACGGCGCCCAGGGGTCTGCCTCGAGCCTTCTCCGCCTCGCTGTACCTCGCCTTGTACCATATATCCTGGAGCGCGGAGTGGTTTGCCGGGCTGAAGCTGTGGCTCTCTAGGATACAGTAGAGCTCCTGATAGCGAGCCTGATGGAAAGCCACGAGAGCCTGCGCTTTTAAGATGCTTTCGTTACCGCGTAGCAAGTCACTCTGTGGTAATGACCATAAGAATCTGGCCAAGCGGTCCACGTTGCCACCCTGCTGCAGAGCTTCGCAGACACACGCCACTTGATCGGGGGAGAACGCCAGCAAAGGCGCGCTCTCCATAAGTTCAGACGGGGCTGCGTCGGCAACGGGACGCTCCGCACTGAACTCCACCGAGCCCAGCGCCAGTGGCTTGGCACTCCCTCGTCTGTCTACCCGCACGCTTTCCTTCTTGATCTCATTTAAATGAATGACTTCGCTTGTGGACGAAGACATGTTTAATGAGTAGCCGCAAGTCACTCCTCCTTGTTCCGTTAGCCGATCAGGTTTCCATTTGCCATGCAAACGAAATCAGATTATCTGGCAGTGTTTTGCGTATGGATGGGTCTCTCTCTGTTCACAAAGCGGCGTGACTTTTACTCAGTAAAGTGTACAAGGAGAGTCAAGCACTGGAGTGCAGCGTGATTGGTCACCCGGGGCTCCACTGGGGCGGGGCGATGATGATGAAGTGTTTATTCGGAGAATGCCAGTCACATGTAATGTCACAAAATGTCCCAGTTAGGGACGTACCTGCAGAGGGTGAATCCATTAGCCAACACAACATACCTTAAATTGCACAATTTCAGATTAGAATCCTATACATAGCGCACGTGTAGGAACTCGACTTGCTCTATGTAAATAATGCCTCAACAACTGTACAGGAAAGTAATCAGAGCGCCGCTTTTTAGAATGATATGACTGATGAGGAACGTGACTAATACTTTTATTCCAAATATTTATTTTAAATAAACAGGTGCAGTGTACGTACTTAATGAGTAAGATGCAAGATGATTAATCATGAGAAATTTCGATGACCAATTAGTTTAGAAATTCCACATCTGTATTTTATGTCATCATTAAAATATTGTTCAGATTAATCTTAAACTGAAATTAAATTGAACAACATGCTATTAATATTATTGTTGTTATTGTATCTACCGCAATAGTAAATGTATCAATGCACTTCTGCCACCGTACACAATAACTGTTTACAATTTCTTAAAGTCAACGTCAGCGATTTATTTTATTATTATTTTAAATAAAATAACATTTAACAATATGCAACTAGCAACTCCGCAGCCCCGCGACAAGCGCGTTTGTAGAATGGATGGATGGATCGAGGCACCACGTGAAATAAACTGCATGGAATCGAAGATGCAGACGGATTTTAATAGCAGACGGATTTATCGAGGTATCATTTTCATCACTGGATTTGCAGCAGAGAGTGCGAGACATATCAGAGTGTTTTCTGAAAAAATAGGCTACAAGTTACGAGCTTCGCACTCACCCATAGCAACGTAAAACGTGCAGATACGTGAAATGTACGAAAGATTTTATAAAACTAAATTCCAATAGGCCTACTTCACAATTTCTGCTTAGGTGCCAACTCACAAGTTCGCTAGACGTGGCCTCTTATATTCTTAACGTTTCAAAATATCGCAAATATAAAGGGATAATAGTGTTAATAATGTTCTGGCAATTTAAACGCAGTTATCCTTATATTAAGTTATTTTAGCGTCGATTATTATAATTATATAAAACTTTGCATTCTGCAACATCCAAAAAGTATTACATTGCGCACAAACTGGTTAGTTAGGATTAAGGATTAGGTTCTCGACGTGTTAATTTAGTTGCCATATATATGTATAGTAATACAATATATGCTTTGTGCAAAAAGTGGATGCATTTTAGTCTCCTTAATTTCAAAACCTTATTCATGATTGCACTGGCCCAGTTATTAACGCCGTGTCTTTGTTGTAATGTTTCTGGTCACTTGTAGTTTAATAACCGACAGCGTGCATTTGAACTGCGTATCGCCCTTAACACGATCGGATTCAAGCCCTTTTTTTAAAGGGACTTGTATAGTTTACAAATGCACGTTTAGAAAAATATTAGAAATTCGCGTAAGAGAACATAAATTCACATTGATACACACATGGTCATTATTTACATTAAAAGCTTGTTTTTTATTCTGTTTAAGAATGTCATGAAAATGTCCCGTATAATCCAGCACTCACAGCAGCAAAGTTCTCGTAAAAAGTAACGGTACTTAACGGTATAAATGAGTGTCCATCATTTCTCCATGTATTTTTGAAATGGAATTTATCACCTTCACGACATTAAAATAGATAAAGAAGTTTTTTAATGGGATTGATGGCTGCGTGGTACTGCAACAGCTACTATGCAAAAATGACTTAATCGTGGAGTTTATTGCACTGATCATGTGCTTTGATTTAATGTATTTTTTCTAATTTCATGATGCTCCAGACATTTATTACCAAAAGGTATCATGTCATCACTTTTTACCCTTTTAAGGTCTTACCTCTAAGCTTTGTGAACCTGAACCTGAAGAATATACTGAACGGATAGATTTGGATCAAGAAGCAAGAATGGGCGTCTCGCGCCTTCCTGGCCGGATATATAAAAAACGCCGTAATACTTGTTACTAATTAGGAACAAATCGTTTCCCTGCTAGTCAAAATCACCCCAGACCCAAAAGAAAAATCAAACTGAAAAAATCTGGATGGATATGTAACAGAAGGCACTCCCTGTCTGCCTCCCCGGTACAGAAATACCAACAAAATAAGGAAAAATACAAATTCTGAGCAACAGATGCAGTAAGAGCAAATAAAT